CTGGTACGTACTAAGGAGGTAGTTGACTACCTGAGCGGGAAGTGCTAGGATTTCACCGTTAGCGAGAGCGGGATCCCTAAGGTGTTCGAAGCAAGTGCCTGAAGGTCCCGCTCCCACTCCATTCGGGCACTTCTGGAGGATTTCGCGTAGGTCGTCCGTGGTAACGCTCAATGTCGAGTGGTTGAAACTGGTTACCAGCCCGGGTAGTACAGTGGCTGCAGCTGGATGTTTCGCTTGGAGTGATGCGAGTGTCGCTGGGCTGGTTTCCGCCAGCGGTGTAGTTCGTAGAGCTGCCACCGCCTTCGATATATTTCCTTTTTTCATCAACCCCTCAGCTCTAGCGCAAAGTCCAGCCTCATCCATCTCATGCCTTGTCGAATTTTCACTGTCGGGGATGACGCATGCATCCCTGAAGAGGTCCTGCCAGTTGCCGAGTTGGAATTGGTGCAGGCGTTGCTCGATTGCCTGACCAGCGGCTGCCTTCAACAGGTTTGGGGGCCGGACGGAGAGTCAGCCTCGGGAGGTACTGTAGGACCGCCCAGGCACCTGGGCAGTCGGGGATCTTGGACAGACGGATGAGTGGCGTGAGGACGCAGAGTGAGTAGCTCTGTAGGATCTTGGGTGGCATGCGGCGCACGAGGAACGGTTGGTCTCCCCACTGTAAGGGAGTCATGTTCCACGTGGCTACCTGCTGCCAGATGGCTTGGTCTTCCGCCAGGTCAGACGGTGACCGCACCCGAGGCTCGCTCTGGTTTCCATTCTCCTCCTCGTTCCTAACTCCCGTCCCTTGTGGGTTTCTCTCCTGAGGGTTTACCACGTTCCTCCCGTTGCTCCTCTGACCTCTAGCCTCTCTCGTCCCGCGCACATCTTCCTCCTCCTCGAGCGAGATTTCTTCCGAAGTCGCAGCCGACTCAGCTACAAAGTCATCCCCATCATCGCTGTTGACAACATCCTCCTCGCTCTGATTCGTCGCTGGCTCCGCTTGCTCCGGTCGCTCGTGGCGTTCCCGCCACGTTCCCAATCTCACGAGCGCAGCCCTGCCGCCAACGATCGGGCTTCTTCCGCCCCTTCCCCCCCTGGCACCTCGTCCTCCTCCCCTCGCCCCGCGAGCCGTTGCGCCGCCCCTGGTACCGGCGTTTGGCTCGCCTCGTCCAGCTTGTTGCGGTCTTCCCGCCGAGATCCACGGCGCCAGCATCGGCGTTGCCTGGCCACCCCTTGGCTGGCCCCAGGTAATGCCTTGTGCTCTCGTAACGCTGCGTGTTTCACGTCGTGGGGTTTGTTGAGCCGGAACCGCTGCTGTGATTGTTCTCTCCACTCTCTCCATCGGGCCCCGTGTTTCCCGGCGGGGTGTTTGTTGCGTTGAAGGTCCTGCCGCTGCGTTTCCTGCCGTATTGTTCGCTGTGGTTGCTTGCGTAATGCCGTTCTCCGCTTCCATGTCGCCGCCGTTTGTCCCCACAGATGGGGATTGACGCGCTTGCACTTGTGGCAACTGCCCTTGCAGAAGCCAGCCCAGGAGGGGTCCCGGGGGACCAGGTCCCAGCCCTGCTCCGGGCCGCCTCGGTGCTGGCTGGGCTCGAAGCTTCTTCTTCCCTGTCTTCCCGCGGGCGGCAGGCAGTCGCGGCGGGTCCGTGACCCCGTCTATTGCTCCCCTCCTGCCCGTGCCCCTGCGTGCTTGCGCCCTCGGCAGCAGCAGGCGTTCCGGCGCTCGCAGCGGCAATCGGCGCATCCTCCTCGGCCAGGGCTCCGCCCTGTTCCCCGGCCGCCGCTGTCACCGCTGCGGCCAGTGCAGCCGCCGTTACAGGCTCCGGCGACGCCGCCAGAGCCAACTCCTCGGTCTGCTCTGGATCTACTGCCAGTTCCAGCTCCCCTGGTTGCAACGCCTGGGGGATGGCAGAGGGTGAAACTGAGCCGCCGCCAGAGGCAGCGTCAAGCCCACCAAGCTCAGCAGCAACCGCCGCCCCAGTCGCCTCAGCAGCAGCAACCCCCTCCGGCCCCGCAGCAGCCGCAGCCTCAACCGCCGCAGCCGCCTCCGACTCAGTCACCATTGCGCCGTTTTCCACTGCCGCCGCGGCCACAGCCGCCTCTCCCCCCGCCGTCTCCTGTTCCTCCGCCACCTCCCCAGGTGCTGCTATTCCCTCCCGTCCCATCAGCTCCTCGCGTTGCTGCTCGTGTAGCTGCGACTCCTCTCCACGTCGAGCAGCGCGTAATGCACGTGGGGACGTGTTTGACGCTGCTGTCATACGTACTGGACCAGCTCCACGTGTGTTTGGCGCGCCAGGGTGTCGAGGTTGGGGGGATGATGCCATCGGAGCAGTCGGCGGCGGTGTCCGCAGCAACGGAGATGCTCCATTATCTCCCCCTGATCGGGCTTGTCCAGGGCGCCCCTGGTGCAACGCTCGGGCCCGGCCTTGGGGCGATGATGCGGCTTGCTGAGTCTGCTCAGGAGGCCCCTCTCGGCCTTGTATCAGCAGCCGCATCCGACCTTCGCTGGATGGACGGGAGGCTTTGCTGGATACTCGCCGAGTAGCGGGGGTTTTCCCCGTGTCGGCCCCCTTAGTAGCTGGCCTGGCCTTGGGCTTCCCCATGGCGGCAGAGGCGCGCCTGGGGGTGTTGTTGTTGTGTGTTGTCTAGTACTGCATGTTGTACTGCTCCATGCTATAGTCCGTGTTCCCTTTGTCCTTGCCACCCCTCACGCGCGGCCGAAGGCCGCGCCGGCGAGCTGCGGCCGCCGAAGGCGGCCGGCGCGAGCCGCCGGTTTTGGGGAGTAAACTGAACTCACCAGTGAAGAATGAGCTCAAAGGACTCCTCACTAGGTGCTTTATACTAGAGGAACAGCCCTGGAAACGTCTAAGGACTAAGGACTAGGCAGGAGAGGGTGAAAAACGGCTAAGGACTAACCCCAAGCCATCTCTCTCTCTCTCTCTCACGGTCCTTTGTATTGATATAGAAATGAGAAAACAGCAAAGGCAAGTAAGCAAGCAACAAACAAGTTTGTCTAACTATTCTCTTCCCTACCCCCTTCCCCCCCCCCAAGTCTTCTACTCGCTACCATTGCCCGGTTCTAGGGTAGCAAAGCACTCCCCCGGGTCCAGGACCCCCTCGGGGCCTCCTAAGGCAGGGTTCTCCTTCTGGGCTGCAAGGTTCAGCGTGATGAGGAAGCTCACAGCCTGTGCCCTCTGCAGGGCGACAGACCACCGCTGGCGGAACTGGTGCAGCAGCTTTGCGGCCTGGAAGCTTGAGGGGTCCGCGTTGAAGTGTAAGCGTGCTGCTCTGTCCGCCACGTGCTTCAGGAAAGCCTGTACCTCGGCACATGGGCAGCCATAGGTCTCGACTGCCAGAGGGTAAAAGCCTGCGAATTCAGCCCTGCCGTGGTATAGCCCAATTTTCTTATCTGCTGCCTCCCTTGCTGCCCATCCCCGTCCCTTCCTGACATCTCATCCCTTTTGCTGATAGGGTCGGTGATGGTTATGTCACCCAGCCACACCGCCCCACAGCTTCTGTCCCGAATAGCCAGGTCGGCCTTTTTGCTAAATGCCATACTCTCCTTATGCACGATGAACCCCGCGTCCTGAGCCATACGCACACATTCGTCCCGCAGCTCATTGTGTGTGTTGGTCCGTCCGTGCCCTGTGCCGCAGCAGAGGAGGTGGTTGGGGAGGCGCTTGTCTGCTATGGCGACTCTTTTTGTGCAGTCGCAGTTGCTAGGGACGGGGAGAGGCAGTCCTAGGCGGAACTGGAGGGCGAACGAGAAGTGGTTGGGGTCGAGGCGGAGGGAGGGCATGTAGGGGATGGCTATCAGCCAGTCCCCTGCGCCGTAGCCTGTGAGGGACAAGAGCCGCTGAGTGTGCCCGCAAAGGGGGTTCAGCTCCATATGCTGTGATGCTGCAACCTGAGCGGCACTGCGTCCGCCCTGGACCAAGAGGGCAAGGCGGTGCTGTAGCTGTCCCTTGGGCGCTGCCATTTCTGCCGCCAGCAGGTCACGTCCCTCCTGTGTGAGGCTTTCCTTGCACTCCCCGAGCCAGGTTTGCATTTGGTTCGGGTCCGGGTCCACCTCCTCTGTCCAGTTCAAGGCGGTGGAGAGGTGAGCTCCTGCGGGGCGGGGCAGTGAGGCTAGGAGTCCGTGCGCCTGGACGAAGCTTGCTAGGTACCTGTAGCGCCCTTCAACCGCTGGGTCCGCCAGCCCCAGGCCTCCCAAGCTTGGGGGGAGGGAAGCTTGGTCCCACACGCGTCGTTCCTCCGCATCCCCCCTCGGATGGCGCACGCCGCAGGCGTCGAGCAGTGTGTGGAGCAGCTTCTGGCCCCACCGTGACCATTCTTCTTCAGGCAGAAGGCTGAGTGGGGTTGTGCGCGCGAGGTATGACATCCGCCTCGAGATGCACCTCGTCAGCAGCAGTGACGCTGCCTGCGGTTCCAGGTCTGCTATCTGCGGGAGTGGGGTTGTCATGGCTTGCAGCTGTGCCCGAATAAATGCTGCTGCTCCATCTGGCGCGCCGATGAAACTGCCCAGAACACGCAGCCCGTCGTGGCAGAATGGGACCCCCTCCGGCAAGGCCCCTTCCGGTGGTCGAACAGCGCTCCACGCCGCACATTTCCCGGCGTTGTGCCTGAGCCCCATGCTACGGAGGCTGCTCGTGAAGTGGTTGAACGCCGCTGTACACTCCACCACTTTGCCCAGGAACGTGACATCCTCAGCGAATGCGAGGCAGAGCACGGTCGGGAAGGCGGCTGCGGTCGCGGCGAGGGACAAGTGGATACCCGCGGCGAAGAGCAAGGGCCCGAGTGGGTCGCCCTGACGGACCCCTGTAATGCTGGATATGGGAGGACTATTAAAGCCAGCGTCAAGGAATAGCTCAGACGGCGCGCCGTAAGAGGAGTGAACTAGGGGGAGGATCCCTTCTAGCGTACTTCCGCGTAGGCCTGCTACGATTGCCTCGCGACTGATGCTATTAAATGAGTTTGAGAGATCCGCCTGAAGAATCGTGGCGTCGCAATGCGTGCTCATGTACGATCTGGCGGCGTGGATTATTGCTTCGCTACCTCCCTGGACGGCGACGCAGTACTGGAGTGGGAGGAAATGGGCTCGTGCCGCTTCTGCTAGTGAGGAAAGTGCCGATTTTGCCGCGAGGCGTAGGACACACTCTCCTACGGCTATGGGCCGAGTCCCTCCCTTTGGCTTGGCGAGAGCGATGAGGTGGGAGGACGTGAGCAAGGAGCACACCTCTTCGGGGAGTTTCCCTCGGAGTATTGTGCAGACGAGAGCGTGGAGGTGGGTGGTAACGGCTGCGTTGGCGATAGCTGCATCTCTGAGGTGTTCGAACGTCATCCCTGATGGCCCTCCCCCCACACCGTTTTCGCAGCGGCATAGGATTTTCGCGAATGCAGCTGAGGTGATGGTCACCACGTGGGCCTCGTCCGTTGGTGTCCAGTCAATGTGTCCAGGTGGCGCGAGTGGGTGCTTGGATTTGAGTGAATCCAGTGTTTCGGGCGTTGGATCTGCCACGGGTGTAGATTCGAGGGCCAGGATAGCCCGCCGAAGGCTGCCCTTTCGAACAAGTCCCTCTGCTCTGGCGCGCTTTCCCAAGTTGTCCGGCTGGTGACGTGGCGCTGGAGGGGTGTTGATCGCTGCCACAACTTCCTCGTACAACTGTTCCCATTCGCCCTTGAAAAACCGGCGAAGTCGCAACTTCACTGCGGGCCAACCCGGCTTCCCTGGTTTCGCCTGGCGAAGGATTTGGCGGGGGATAAAGAGAAACAGGCGCCAACCGGGTACTGAGTCAGGGTGGCGTGCGAGGTGCAGAAGGGGTGTCAGCAGCGCATTTGCGAAGCTGGTGCGGATGTCGTGCGGTATTTTGCGGGAGAGGGGGGGCTGACGACTGTCGCGTAGTGGTGTCAGGTCCCAAGTGCGGACTTCGTTGAAGCGGACAGTGTCCTTCGCCAGCTGTTCTGTCGAAAATTGGCGTGTTGGTGGTGCGGTGGTGGGGGGTGCGTCTGGGTTTGATTCCCCCTCAATTCCAACTTGTGCAGATGCGGCTCGGGGAGTTGTTGCAACATTCACTTGACTCTCAACTCCTGGAGCAGCTTCACCTTCATCCCCACCACTTCCTTCAGTGGTTGATTCAGCGGCTGGCTGGGCAATAAAAGTGGGGTCTTGTGCCTCGTCTGCTTCATCCTCCGCCGCGTTGTTGTCATCCGCATTTGTTAAAGCTAGCCTCGCCGCCCATTGGAAGCCGTTCTCCCGTCCTCGGCCACGCCCCGCAGCTCGCTGCCGCCCGCCTCTGCCTCTTCGTAATGCCTGTGGCGGTTGGTGGCGGTTCCCCGGTGTCGTATTCGCCGCGGTCGTTTGGCGTGGCGTCTGCTGTGGTTGCCTCGCCGGTGCAGTCGGCGCCGGTTGCCCCTGTTGCGGCAATGTCTGCCGCGGGTTCTCCTGCTCACGCGTGCTCCACGGTAGTCGACTCTGGACGAGAGTTGGCGGGTGTGGCCGTCCTCCCGCGCGTGGTGGCGCCGACGCCTGTACCTGCCTTCGTTCTGGCGCCTGCGGCTGACGTGGCGCCTCTTCCTGCTCCTGGCGCGGCGCCCTCTCCCGCGCCTCACGTTCCGGTGTTGCCGTCGCCTGTTGAGACGGCGGCTGTTGCTAGGGTGGCACCTGCGTCTGGCGAGGCGCCTCCTCCTGCGCCTGTGGTGTCAGAATGTTATATTTGTCTAGCCTGCAGTGGGGTACTATATAGCGAGTACAGCCCAATATAGGGTTTCCTATATGTACTCAACTGCTTGCTAGTGCAACCTCTCTTTCTTGTTCTAAGCTTCTCACTGCTATTCTGACATGGTTTCAGAGCAGGTCGATCCCCTTGGGTCGATCCTGTGGGTGGGCCCACCACCTAATGCTTCCGCTGCTCTACTGCTGTCGCGCGCCCCGGGCGCGCTACCCTTTCTTCTTGCCGGTTTTCGGTTTCCCTGTGTGGCGCGCGCCCGGGGGGCGCGCGGCCCTTTTTCTTCCTGGCGAGGCGGGCGCGCCCCCCCGTCCCTCCGTCGCGACGCCCTGGGAAGACGCGCGCGCCCCCTGCCCGTCCGTTGCGGCGCCCTGGAGCGACGCGCGCGTCCCCCGACCGTCCCGTCGCGGCGCCCTGGTGTGTCGCGCGCGGCCCCTGCCGTCCCGTCGCGGCGCCCTGACGAGGCGCGCGCGGCCACTGCTGCTCAGTCGCGGCGCCCTAGCCAGGCGCGCGCGGCTCCTACTGGTCCGTCGCGGCGCCCTGGCAAGGCGCGCGCGGCCCCTACTACTCCGTCGCGGCGCCCTAGCCAGGCGCGCGCGGCTCCTACTGGTTAGTCGTGGCGCCCTGGCAAGGCGCGCGCGGCCCCTACTACTCCGTCGCGGCGCCCTGGCCAGGCGCGCGCGGCTCCTGCTGGTCCGTCGCGGCGCCCTGGCAAGGCGCGCGCGGCCCCTGCTGGTCTGTCGCGGCGCCCTGGCTAGGCGCTCGCGGCCCCTGCTGTCCCGTCGCCCCCTCCCCCCCCCCCCCCCCCCCCCCGTGCCGCCCATTGCTCCCGTGCCGCCGTGTGTTCCGCGGTGGTGGGGGGTGTGGGGTGGCGGGCATGGGGGTGAGCGGTGTGGGTGCTACCCTTCCCCTTCTCCTCCTCCTTCTTCATCTCCCACTGCTGCAGCTGCCGCTGAGGGGGGTGGGTGTGTGGGAGCCGAGGGGAGTGGCGCTAGGGGGGTGACGTGGGAGCGGAGCTAGGGGTTCAGCAAGGGGTGTGTGAAAGGGGGGTGGGACAGTTGGGGGAGGTTGAGTGGAGACTGCCGTCCTGTCGTCCGCAGCACCTGTAGTCCGGGGCGCTGTCCTGGTAGCCCAGAGAGCCTGCTGCGCCTGTCGCCCGTGGGTCCGTTGCTCCTGCCGCTCTTCGTAGCCGCCGAGCCAGTTACTCCAGTAGTCCGGGGCACTGTCCCGGTAGCCACTGTGCCAGCCGCTCCTGTTGCCCGTGTGTCTGCAGCTTCAGCCGTCGCCTCCTATCTCCTCTCATCTTACAGTCCCGCCTCCTCCTCCTCACTTGTCCTTTGTGAATGCCTCTAGCTTTGCTTGCAATTGTGAACCTGCTCTATGACTGCTTGCTCTGCTGATTACACCCCACTTTGGCTATGGGGGTGTGTCAGAATGTTATATTTGTCTAGCCTGCAGTGGGGTACTCTATAGCGAGTACAGCCCAATCTAGGGTTTCCTATATGTACTCAACTGCTTGCTAGTGCAACCTCTCTTTCTTTTTCTAAACTTCTCACTGCTATTCTGACATACCCGTGGCGTCTCCTGCTGCGTCCCTTGATGCGCCGGGCGGGAAGTTTGCCCCTCCGCTCCCCGCCGCTTCCTCGTCTGCCCATGCCCTTCCTCCGGCAGTGCAGCAGCATAACTCCCGTCCTCATTCGCCCTCCCCCCGAGATGAGCGAGATGTGTCTCGTCGACGGCGTGATTCCCCTCGCCGGCAACAGCCGCAGGCGAACTGGCATGCGCACCAGGGTGGTTGGAGGGGAGGTCACGGTCGCGGGCGTGGCGGGTGGCTGGACGCGCCAGCAACAATCGTGGACGTGCGGCAGATTGTGACAGAGGCGTTTCGCGATGGTCAGGCCGGCCCGGCGAGTCAGAACAGCTCGCGGCGTGCAGCTCCAACGCCCTCAGCTCCCCTTCCGGTCGCCCGCCCCGTGGTTGCTCCGACGCCCGCGGTGTCACTTCCGACTCCCTCGGCCCCTGCTCGTAGAGGTGGGGCTGGACTTCCTCGACTACAGCTCCCTTCTCTGGCGGAGGAGCTCCTTCCCCCGCGCGCCGAGGTTCCGGAGGCGACGCTCGGCCAGTTATGGAGGCCCTCGGAGAGCCTTCGTGCGCTTCTGATTGTGCAGTCCCTGGCGCACGGGTCTCTTCCGCCTGTCCCGGCGGAGTCCCTGCTTGATGGCCCGCGGGACGACTGTCTTGACGCGGCCGACCAGATTGCCCTCCTCCTGGCGCCTGTGTTGGCCGCGCCCGTGCAGGGAGGCGTTGGGGCTGTGGGGCAACTGGACGCGGCTGTGCGGGACTTACAGAGGAACCTGCGGGCAGGTTCCGGAGCCGACGCGATTGGCGCCGCCATTCTGGTGGTCCGCTCGGTGTGGCAGACAATGACGGGCACTCTGCATGCCCTGCAGGCGGATCGGATGTACCATCCGCCCCGGTTTGATTCATGGTTGTCTTAGGTAGAAGTAGTTGTTGTCATCCGTTGTATGTCTTGCTGATAGTCGCTTGTTTGCTTCTCCCTTGCCCTCCCTAGCGCGCGGCCGAAGGCCGCGCTGTCGAGCGTCGGCCGCCGAAGATGGTCGACGCGAGCGAAAATTTCAGCCACACCACTGAACAATGAGAGACAAGAGGCCAAGAGGGGCCTCTTATACTAAGGAACAGAGGGGGCAGATGGCTAAGGGAGAGGGCAGAGGCAAGGTGCCTCTCTCTCTCTCTCTCTTTCTCTCTCTCTCTCTCTCTCTCTCTCTCTCTCTCTCTCTCTCTCATGAACACAAATGAAAACTCATGACAGAAAACATGAACAAACATGAACGGAACATAAACAGTCATGAACGAACATGAACACTCATGAACGCCCCGCGAATGACCATGAACACTCGAAACTTCACGCACAATCATGAAACAACACGAACACACATGAAAACTTGGAACTCCTCGCATGCACATACGAAACACACGAGATTAGTCATGAAAACTCATGAATGCAATTGCACACTAAAATGCACATAACTCATGAACCGCTAAGGCGATTCACAAACCGTAAACGCCAAAATGAAAAGCACACAAATGCGCATTCCAGACGATACAAATTACCTCAAAACAAAACACCCCACTTTCCTTCAACGTCGGCGAATAGGCGGTAGGTTGTCGTGCAAACAACGTATTGCACTCAACATTAAGTCCCACTGAAAATGAGCGTTGAGCGAAGAAGTCTAGGTGAAAACGTGTCGGTGTGAAAAATCGATGGCGAAAACCAGGTATTACGTGCCCCAAAAAATCTTCGAGGGCGAACCAGCAGATGTAGCCCAGAAACCGAACCGGAAAGTTTCGAGTACCCGAACTGAACGTTTTTTTGTCTTCACATCGCCAGAATCAGGCGATATCTCCAGCAGTAGCAGCTGGCAGCATTTGACGTGGCGAATGTATAATCGTTTGTCATGGGCGGGTCGAGTTGGCGAGTTGTCGCTAGTAGAGTTGGGGGGGTCGCGTCCTGAAATCCTCTGGCCGTGAAGTCAGGATTGTTACGATTGTCGACGAAGGTGGCGAACGAAGGCGATAGGCGGCGAATTAGTGTACGTTACTTGGCGAAGGTTGTCGAAGCAGTAACCGAGTCGAGTGTCACCCCGGTCAAAAATGTCGGACTCATTATCCGAGTCAGATGACGTCAGCTCCTCCGGCGGGTTTGTGCAGACTCGCCGAGCTTTTTGTCGCAATTTGCCGAGGGCTCCTGGGCAGAGATGAAAGATTGCAGCTATCTCTCCCCCCCTTGCACTGTTGCTACCGCCTTCTTCAGTTCGTCGTAAGTCGTTCGTACCCCTTGAAAATCCTGTGTAGTTCCCTCGATGTTGCTCGAACGTTGATGTCGCACGCGTTTAACCAAATGCCGAGAAATCCCACGAAAATGTCGGCGCTCTTCGCCGTAAAACCGATAAGTCCCGCGTAAAACTCCGTAATGGTTGGTCGAAAACAACCCCGTAAAATCCGCGGTTGCATGTGCAGTTCTCCTCCGAAAAACTCGGACGTACTATAGCTGCCCACTCGGTCACCATTAGTTTCCGTCGGTTACCCGACACTAGCATGTGGGTTCAATCGAGAACCAGGGACTGTCCTTGGGTTATTCCGAGACCACAGAACCTACTGGCATCAACGCTGTAGACTACGTCGTCGAAGCTGCTCCCGCCGATGATGTTTTAACAAAGTACCACGCAGCTCCCACTGGCGCGTTGCAGATTTTTCACCCATCGCTCGTCGCCAGCAGGTAAATCCGAAGCTTCAGCTGCTCCCATACGTTTTTGTATTTTCCACTCCCCGACAATATCGCGCACCACCATTCATCCAGCGTCCGCGTCTGCCGGTTGCAGTCTAAGGTTGGAGCCCCCCTTTTTTTTTGTGGGTTTTCGACTCCCCAACAATATCGCAAAACCGCCGTTCACCCAGCGTTCGCGTCTGCCGGTTGAAGTATAAGGTTGAAGTGTCAAACTATATATGCTGCATGTTGTGTAGGCTGTAGTGGGGTAGCCCATATGGGGTACAACCCAATTAGGGTTTACTACTTGTACTCCTACATGCTGCTAGTTCACACATTCCTCGTTCATTCTCCTGACATGGTTTCAGAGCAGGTCATAGCCTAGGACCGGATTTTTTTAGGGCCCATCGAACCGCGCTACCCCAAGAGTCGCGCCTGTTAGTGCCGCGCCGCCCTGCCCTGCCCTGCGTTGCGCTGCCGGGCACGCCCTGCTCTGCCCTGCCCGCGCGCTGCTCGCTGCTGCGCGCCTTGCCCTGCCCGCGCGCTGCTCGCCGCCGCACGCCCTGCCCTGCCCGCGCGCCGCTCGCTACCGCGCCGCGTGCCCTGCCCGCGCGCTGCTCGCCGCCGCGCCGCGCCGCGCCACTCTGCCCGCGCGCTGATCGCCGCCGCGCGCGCTGCCCTACCCGCGCGCCGCTCGCCGCCGCGTGCCCTGCCCTGCCCGCGCGCCTCTCGCCGCCGCGTGCCCTGCCCTGCCAGCGCGCCGCTCGCCGCCGTGTGCCCTGCCTTGCTCGCGAGCCGCCCGCCGCTGAGCGCCCTGCCCTGCCGGCGCGTCTCCCGCCGCCGCGTGCCTTGCCCTGCCAGCGCGTCGCCAGCAGCCGCGCGCCCTGCCCTGCCCATGCGCTGCTAGCAGCTGCGCTACCCTGCCTGTGAGCTGCCCTGCTGGCTGCCGCCCTGCCCTGCCCTGCTTGCGTGCTGTCCTGCTGCTACCGCACTCGCCTGCCCTGCCCGCTATGGCAACTCTCAGCGTCCTCACTGTTAACAGGAATGGAATGTTGGCCACGCCCTCGCTTGGGCAACGCCGACGACATGGTCGGATGCACGGGAGTAGCAGCCGACCGTTCACAGTGGGAGAGCTGCTCGACAGGTGACGTCGAGCTGCAGGGGACCGCTGTGGGGTTGCTGTCGACCAGGGAGCTCGACAGCTGCTTTTGACTGGTCTGAGCGATGGGTGGGCCGTCGACCAGAAGGGGCAGTTCGACCAGGAGGTCGAATGAGCAGTCTGTCGACCTGCAGCTCGACCGGGAGCAGTCTGTCGACATGCAGCTCGACCGAGAGGTCGACGGAGCAGTCCGTCGACCTGACAAGTGAGTAGCGGTCGACGAGGGGAGCTCGGCGACAACCGCTGGCTGTTCTGGTCGACGGAAGGGGTCCGTCGACCAGGGGGTAGCTCGACGGGAGTTGTGGTCGACCAGGGGCACCTGGTGGTCGACCAGAGGGACCTGGTGGTCGACCAGAGGCAGTGGTGGTCGACCGGAAGCACCTGGTGGTCGACCAGGTCGACCGGGTAACCTGCTCGACGAGTTCTGCGGAGGTACGCGAACGTCCTCGAGGTCGCGATGGCGAAGGCGACTGCGGGCTGGTATCCCGAAGTCGATGTGGCTCGTCAGGCGCAGACAATAGCCGACGGATGCCCAACAAGGCAAGTCGGGCCAATCGCTGCGCGCACCTGCGAGCGTGCGCACTGCTGTGTTCTACAGGGCAACGCTGGACAGCCCCTCTGCTGCAGCGTTGGCACGCCGTCGACCTGCTCTGTTGGCAGGTCGCCTTTCCGCAGTGCTGGCACGGCTCCTCTACGCAACGCTGGCAGGCGGTCGACCAAGCTGTGCTGGCGGTCGACCAGGCTAGCTGCAGGGTTGCTAGGTGCCTGATGTAGTCATTCTGTCATTTTCTTGTTCTATCATTCTGTAATTCCGACTTTGCCTAGTGGAAACTCTTGCGGATTTCTCCCGCGAATGCGCAAGCACTAAGGAACTAAGCAAACCTACGATCACCTCTAGTAGTTCGTGCCAACCCCCGTATTCTAGCTCACTACCGTTCTAGAGTGACTCTCCGCATGGTGCGATGAGCGTGGACGGCCCCGCAAATACCTTCAGATAGGAGCAGAATTTTGCACCTACTAAGTCGTTCGTAGGCCGGCAACAGCGTTAGTCGCCATGGTCGACCCCGTGGTTGATGCGGGCGTAGCGGACACCTTGGAGGCACGTTTGGCTGACGCGAGGAGACGCCACGCGGATGGCGAGTACGGGACGATCCCTTTGGTGATCGCCGAGCTGGGCATCCGGTCGCAGTGGGCGACGGAACACCCTTCCCGTCCTGCTTCTCCTCGACCGGTGCGCAACGAAGGTGGCGTCGACGACGAGGTCGACGGTGGTGCATGAGTCAGCGGCAGCGAAGGCACGAGGCAGAGAAGGGTGATCAAGGTCGACGGTGGTGAGCCACACAATGAAGAAGAGAGGCCAAGAAGGCCCCTTATATAGCTAGAAAGCCAAGGGCAGAGGGCTGAGGGCAGAGGGCAGAGGGCAGAGGCTAGAGTCCTCTCTCTCTCTCTCTCTCTCAAGCGGTCCTTCATTGATAATCAGCAGGGTACAGGCATGGCACAAGTGAGCCGGTAAGCCTAAACATGCAATCTAGGCAGACAACCACCAACACACAAGCAAGGGACAGCCACAACAGCCACATCCTAAGCCTGCCTGCTGATGGCCACGACTGCCATGTAGCCTACCTAGTGCCTAGCCCCAAGGACCGCCGCCTGGGGTCCTCCTCACTCCTCCATCTCCTCTACTCCAGCCCCCTCACCCATCCAGGTCCGGCCCCCAGTCCAGCTCGTCCTCAAGGACCTGCCAGAGGTCCCCAAGGTGTGGCTCCCACGGGTCGACTGGGGCCTGGGGGTGTGCCCGCTCAGTTGCCCTGTTGGACTTTGCCAGCAGGGTATTGGCCTGGCCGCGCTGGAGCATTACCGACCAGCGCTGTCGGTAGTGTGCTGTGAGCTTGGAGGCGACCGTGGTCAACCTCCCCTGCCTGTGCTTCTTCTTGGCTGCCTGGGTGCCTAGGAGGCGTAGGAACCGCTGGGTGTCTTGTGCCAAGGCCCCATAGGTTTCTACCGCCAGCCCGAACACTCTCACGAACTCTGGGCACCCCTCGTACAGCCCTCTC